AACACCTATACCGGGCTCCAAATAATTTTTCAACTTCAGGAGTACATACTCCTTATTTTTTTCAACATAGGAGTACTGAAAACCTTAAGTGTACATCTACTGAAGTAGTGAATGGAATTAATGGAGTGTGACTACGACAAGACGAACAAGTGACACTAGTAAGCTGTCCGTTCATTATTCGTACAGCAATTTGATTACTTGACGGTTTACAAGCCGTTGAGGCACAGTCTTGTTTCTGAAAGAAACTTGTAATTTGTTTCTGTGCCGCCATGTTTACATACATGTGTGCAATTTTGACCAATCAAAATTAACCGTAGCAACCAGGATTCCCAAAACACAACAAGGGAAACCCCAATGTGTTGCTATCACGTAAATCCAAAGATGGGACACTGCTTGAAATAGATTGATATGTTTTAGATAAATACGTCTGTAAATGATTCTAAGCCCGTACACCATTGCTGTGGTGCGTATCTGCTATGTTTTCTAAATTATTTCCTACCATATCGTGCATATTTTTTATCCGTACATACGCTGATACGGCCCGTATCTGAGGTGAGGTGAGGTGAGGTGACATTGGGTTTAACGTCGTACTTGAGAATATTTCGCTCATATGACGACATGCATGTGTGTGTATGTGTATGTGCGGCAGCTTGTACTAGCCCAGATAGACTAAGGCTTAGTCTCTGAATATATATAATTTTGATAGTAACAAACAACCCCATCTATATTGAAAAGGAGCCCTAGGGAGACCAGAGATTCAGAACCTGAACCTGAGGAAATCTAGACTTGCTTTATTTAAAGAACCACTAAACTTTGTTTTTTGTTACTCTTTTAACCATTACATATGAAAGATTTGTGGTTAGTCTTATGCGGAACACCAAATTTATTCTTTAAAAACTTGTGGTTAATTAATACCGAGCGATTAAAAGTGGCCAAACAGTCGCCTGCTTCCCTCTCGCCCGCCAACGAAACCACAGACAGGTTACGTAAGAGCACTGCAGTGACGTCATATGAGGAACGATTTTCAGTTAGTTGTATAGAAAGTGTGTAGCACGCTCATCATTTTGATGATTTCGGCATGAACGCATTACATGATCGAATCGTTGCTTTGTCGTCAATTTGCTCCTGGGTCGGGTGATGGTGTCACCATGCACAGATTTCCACAGGACCCCGCAGTTAGTTGCTAAATGGGTTATGTTTGTGAGTCGCGGTTTGGCGTTGCCAGGAAGCCTGAAGCGATATCTTACTTGTGTTAAGATCGCTTCAAGGAAGTTAAAGAATCAAAACTACTTACTAGTTATAGTAAAATATGTATATGATTGATGACCATAAAGATTTTCCATAACACAACTTGTAACATAACGATTTCTTCCTCGGAAGTGAGGTTGTGGTCGAAGTAACAATAATATTGTAAGTAGTATTATATTGACACCCACCTACGCTGCCAGGAGAGAAATTGTTATGTTATCAAGCTATGTCACGCGCAAAATCCTATTGGCCATCAATAAAATACATATTTTACTACCAGTAGAAAGTAGTTTTGATTTTGTAACTTCGGTGAAAACAAACCTAAATAGCATTTATGCACAGACTGGCGGATGTTCCCGACAGGGCTACCATTTTTGAAAATCGTAAAGTCTGTTAGAATTAATGAGATTATAGTTTGTTTCATCAAGTTAGAAAATCAAAACTACTTTCTACTAAGTAGTTAAATATGTATTGGAATCATAACCAAAAGGATTTTGCATGACACAACTTATAACATAACGATTTCTTCCACGAGGCGAGGTGGGGTCGAAGTCACAATACTGCGCAATAAATTTCTTGCTACATTCACATGGTTAATGTCCACTCACCAGTATGTAGATACTAGTCAATGTGCTTTATATTTGGTCTTATAATCCTAATTAGTTTATTATCATACTTTTATGCATTTTGAAACTAAATAAAAGCTGACGATCTGCTGATACTTATAGTGAATTTATAACAGAACTGTAATATCTAGACATTTTATAGTTTGCCAATGTGAATCATAATTAGCACACACCCTAGTGTATGTTGTCTGTCTCATTACACTTCACGGCGAAAACAATGATTCTGTTGAATGCTACGACAAATGAACAAAAACAAAATGCAAATATTAAAATTAAAACAGATTAAAGTTATAGGAACAATATCAGGCCATTACCTTGTTTGAGGAATGTATCCATCAATATCCACAAAACTGTTCCAAATGATGTGTCTTTTAACAGTTTAATATACGAAAAGTGATAAATCTTTTCAGGTATTGGTGTATAGTCTCAATGGTCACCCAAGATAGCACACCTGGCAACTAATTGCATAATGTCCGCTTTCATTAAAAACAGTAATTTAGTTAGCCAATAATGGGCAATCAATCAATGTATTGCCGGTTAATCCTTTGAAAGAAGGGCGTTGTTTTTCGCAGACACCGACACGGCAGAGTGTATTCAGTATAGATTAGTAAATCTACATACATAAACACTACCTTTTGACAATTCGCTGTGTAAGATAAAAAGTAATTAATCAATCAGCGTGTTATCGGTTAATCCTTTGATCGATGTTTATAATGTTGAATATTTACTCCAGACACAAGAAATGCCAAATGGGAACCTTTGTCGGGTAATCTAAGTGTGTTACCACTAATTATACCTGTTATAAATTCATTAACTGACCATCAAGTGAATGATGACAAATAACATGTGTAGGTTTATACCACCTAACACGGGTTACAACAAGGGAGTATTAATTGCTGTATTGCATGTGAAAACTTATGGGCCGACACTGTTTTGAGAATACAAACAGATTTTTACATGACATGATTAAATATCGAGGTAAAAACACAGAAATGGGATCAATTTGGATCAGTCATTATACAAATAGGGCCTAACGACACCAATCAATTGTGACAGAAGCGTCTATGAAAACAAGTTGTAACTTCGGAAACTAGGCAAAGCAGGAGACAAAATTAAATGACAGTAGATTGTGAGAACATATAGCTTTCATTTTCCACAACAATTGTCACGATTTCAGGTTTATACAAGCCTGTAAACAAGATAATTTACCCCCTAAAATGTAGATGAATTTTGCATCGGCCCTCAAAGCTATTCCTCATATGACGTCACAGAGTCGCGCCGCTCTGATTGGTTGAAATTTCGTTCGCGGGTGAGAATTGTGCACTGTTGTCAAAAAGGTCGATTTAAGTCAATTAAAGGTCGAAATGAGTAGTTTTAATGACGGGGTTTCATTTATAACGATGCCAGTTAGTGATTTATGTATTTTTACCCCCCTAGGGTTTATGTGATCTTTAAGGCTTTAGCACTGCAGAATGGGCTTGGCAGTAGGGAAATTAATGTGGTTCAGGGACTGTGAGACAGACTATAGCCCAGACTGAAGCTGGTTTTATAGTGCTAGCCCACTGAGACACCATGCCGCAGTGAAGCATGAATACCCAACTCAGACACATTTTACTGACTCCGAGCCAACCAGTCCTTGTTGTACCCACTAATGCCGAGCGCCAGGCAGGGACCAATAAGTACCATATTTTAATCTTTTGGTATGACGTGGTCAGGCATCGAACCCACGACCTTCCGCTCTAACCACTACACCACACAGGCGGTCGCCCTTATCTGAAGCCCTGCCCATAGCTTCCCTGGACAGTGAATATTATTGTGTGTCTCTTGGGATGAGTATACTTTCCAATCTTGACACTTGTGCATTCTGGGTGCATGTTTGGCTTAACAAGGTTTTAGACCAATCACAATATGTACAAGACAAACTAATATGATCTGACAAAACTAAATGTACATAGGTTTACTGGCTCCTATTGGGTCTGTTCATGAATCAATTATGTCAATTATCATTTGCATGATGATACACCAGCTGATATGTGATGTAGAGCAATGATAGTGAGCAATATGTATCAAATATAACTCATTCACAATAAATACTAGTTATTGACTTGTGTTTTGACAAAATGTAACTATTATGTTCTGCTAATATGGAACTGTGCCTTATATCAATTTCAATATGATCGTTTGTCTGGAACAGAGTTAGACATTGATCTGGCATCATCAGCCTGCTCACTGGAATTCTAAACCAGGTAGTCATGAAGAAGCCCCTATACATTACAAAAATCTCTCCTTTCACTGGAATTAAATCAATCAAAGTTATAAATGGATTCAAGATTATTCCAAAAATAAAACAATACATCAGATGATTACAGTTTGTACAACACATGGACAGTATCACATAAAAGAATCTTTGTGAATCTGAATTGAAGTTTATAAAATAAGTCCCCAACTCCATTCAGAAAGTAACTAAGGCTGTTTATTTGTATGCCATTAGAAAGAGTTTTGATTCCATGCTAAATCTAGTTGAACAGGTTCATCTGTCATGTTGTCCTATTCTAGGTGTCTACTCTTCCACTATAGCCTGGTTATACTAAATATAGAAACTGTAAATAGTGACATCAGCACGGGGAATGATATATGACCACCACTGACTGTTATACAACTGACCTTAGACATACATTCATGCACATGACACACTTAAACACACCTTTGACCTCATCTTCCCTACACCTATCTCACACGATGACAGCTTGCCAAAAGCCTTGTTGTTCAACTTGTTGTGTGGTGAACTGAAGTAAGTCCCAAGAGATTTCAGGTCAATTCTGTATGCAACACTTTTCAACAAAACTCATCAACACAGCAATATGAAGTAGCACATACCAGTTCAATCTGAATATTGACTGAACCCGTCAATAATGAGCCAATTGAAAGATCAATGCAGAATCCAGCCATATTTTCATTTGCCGTCTGCTCTATTCTTAAAGGGAGGGAGACATGGAAAAAGTATCAAACCATTGCAACATTATGTTTTTCAAACAACTCGGAAATTCCAAGCTTCAAAACAACAGCCTGAAACTGAAAACGAAGTGTCGAGATATTATCTCAACAAGAAGGAATACAACACCCTACCTTGTCTGTGAACAACCTCCATTTGAAGATCTCCCACACAAACTCCCTGCAGGGAGAATTTCAACAACCTTCTGTCTGATTCTACCAGTAAATACTGCTCTTATAGAGCTCCCAGTCAGTGCTTGCAGAGAGTATTTGATGCAGGCTACAGGAGCTGGTCTGACTGAACTTTGTCCCACATGTCAATAGATAACATGGAGGTGAAGTTGGACATGTTGCAGATTGCTGACGGATGTCAGCCTTTATTTCCCAACAAATTAATTATACATAATGGACATGCAGATCAATGCAGTGTGAACTTCCAACTGCATTATGATATGTCGTTAACAACATATAGGACAACTGGTTTCCTGGTTGAGCCACAGTACATGTCATGACATATGGCATGCAGAACAATGCTGACATGACCTGCGTGAGTGTTAACACATACTAACAACCTTTGTCTGAACTAAACAGGCAAAAATACCAAACAAACAAAAGCATGGTGTGGAATGATTTGTGTGGGCTACATAATCACACCACAATAAATTGAGTATCACATGCGCAAATACACAAAAGCTTCAGAATGTTTCAATATCATAAAGGAATGTCGCTGTATTTATAGTACAGAACAAATGATACACTAGTATTCAAGTTTTGCAGTTTCATATGCTGTGATTTTTATACAGAATGACAGCTCTAAATTTATGCTTTTTTCTAATTCATGATTGATAACACATCAATCATTTTCACAGGTTGACATCTTTCATGATCAATCATTGATCACTGGCTGTTACTCAAACCAACGATCAATTTCACCAGTTCCACATGTACAAGATTTTATACGTAATTTCAAACTTAGTGTCCTTACCAGGGTGCCGTTGTACAAAACCTTAGCCCTAAAACTACCTTAAGTCTATGTTAAAGTATGGTCACCTTAGCGCTAAGATCGCTTTGTACAATGGCACCCAGGCATGTTGTGAAACAATAAAAAACATTCGAAATTATAATCTGATTTTCTAAAGCTGATATTTTGTTAAATTCAGAGGCATTCTAAAATTGTATATTATTATTAACAGTCAATGTAACAATAACACCTCAGGCTCTTTAAACAAATCTATTTTCCAAGCCATCACATATTGAAAATTTACAGGACCCATAGAATAGAATTAAACACACATTTCAGATTCAACTTTTCTTATAATGGGTATTGAAATTATTAACAAACATAAGATTTATAAACAGCAAACAAGTTTCACATGTCACATATAACAACTTCAGTCAAAGTCATTGTGAAATATAGTCAGACACTGGGGCCGGCGGGTTGTAGACTTCTATCGGACCATTGGTGAATCTGCCGGATTTGTCAGAGGGTCAAACACTATTCATGAACACTGCAGTAATGAAACATATACAGGGCTACAGATAAGGGCCGTATCGGCGTATGTAACGGATATAAAATAAGCACGATGCGGTAGGAAACAATTTTAAAAAGGTAGCAAATATGGACCATAGCAATGGTGTACGGTTTCAGAATCATTTACAGACATATTTATCTGAAAAAGTATTGTTTTATTGTTTCCTGACCTGTTTACACAAGAGTAGCAATGTTGTGGTGCATATATGAAACGAAACACAAGATTACTGATACCCCATTAAATTCCATTCAGTACTCTAAATGTACTCTTATTGTTGTCCAAGACTCCTATATCGAAAAAATAAGGAGTACGTACTCCTGATCATGAAAAATTATCTGGAGCCCTGATATACTACAGGGTGTTAAATGTTACCTTTCTGGTTGACAATGCCAAAATTCACTTACACATTCTCCTTCTCAAATACATAGTGGTTCCTACTGGGACTGATATGATTGATTCACTTTCGTATTCATTGAATCGCACAGGAAACTTTCATTATATGAACTTGGTTGTAACTTATCAAAGCGAGATATGCAAAAGGGACTACATCTAAACCACGCAGGATAATTGTCAACACTCATATATATTTTATTTTTACAGTAATTTGGTCACTGGTCATTGTCACGATATATTAAGAAAGGTCACTTCGGTCAAAACATGTCAAAGTGTAATTTTGTTATTGTTTTACTGAACATAATGAATAATGCTTCAGCTGTCTTCATGTTTTCGTACTCATTACCCAATATTTGTATTTGTTACCCAGTAGTCATGATATGTATCATATATTCACCTCACACCGGATTCGTTGCAGCCCTAGTTACTACTAGTGTCTGTGACAGTGTCAGATAAACCAAAGAATATGACTTAAAGGTAGAAGAATTTACCATGAAATATCGCTCTATACAATAAACAGAAGTTGTTTTTTGGTTTCATTGTTTAACGCTGCACTCAGCAATATTCCAGCTATACGCCAGCAGTCTATAAATTGAGTCTGGACCAGACCATCCAGTGATCAACAGTATGAGCATCATTGTGTGCAATTGAGATACGATGACATGTGTCACCAAGTCAGCAAGCCTAACCACCCGATCTATGACAAGCATAGGATGCTGAAGACCAGTTCTAACCCGGATCTTCATAGGTTATTCTTGAAGTCGGATTGTTGTTATTGAACCAGCAATTTCTAGAATGCCGGTCAAACAATTAGTTAACAAAATAAGCTTGCATGAAAGGCAATGAGTCCTTGTCAAAACCTCAGTTGAAAAATTATGGTCCAGTTATTCTACATGCTTTCAGGGAAAACCCAAGGATAGAATTACTTTTTTTCTAAGTGTACCTAAGGGCACCAGACAAATATTTTAGGTGTGCCTTTCTGAAATCGAGTATGCTCACATATTTTTACAATAAATGACAATGATGATGATCATTTGAAGTTTATTGTTAAATAAAGATATGGGTTTATGAGCATTCACTGACTGACTGACTGAGTTTAGTTTTACGCCGCTTTTAGCAATATTCCAGCAATATCACGGCGGGGGACACCAGAAATGGGCTTAACACATTGTGCCCATGTGGGGAATCGAACCGGGTCTTCGGCGCGATGAGCCACTTAGGCTACCCCACCACCCCTTATGAGCATTCAAATATGTCTGGTATTGTTCAATTTGAAAAACAACAACATTGTTTTGGGGATTAAATGACTAAATGTGAGTTATGTCTCTTAAAATAATTAGCGTGTCAAAAGGGCACCGAGAACATTTTTTAGCCGGGCCATTTCTGTACTTACTGTGCCATGGCACACTAGTATATGGGGTATTTCGAACTCTGAAACCTAAAGGACCCAGTAACATTGACAACAGTAGTGGTGTTTCATTTCTGTAGCTTGCATTAATTTTCATGACAAAGTTAACCACTTGCAACTGGGGATGTTACGATTCACTTGAACGAATTGAACAGTATCCCTTCACAAATTCAATTAGTTATTTGTGATCAGGATTGTTTTTAAAAACTAAAAAAGGAATATTTTTACTTGCATTTGAGTTACTTATCAAAATGAAATATGCTAACTGGAATATATCCACTCCAGTCAGGTAAATAGTCAACACTCTTACGTATTGAACTGGACAGTGATATGGTCACCCAATATTCTTGATACGTATCATATTTGCCTCATAATAAGCATAGTGGATTCATTGCAGCCCTAATTGGTGCAAAATTGTAAAGCAATAAAAATAAACTTTTCAAAATTTGATAGATTTGTTTTGGATTTCCATAATAAAAATACAATTTTCAATTTGCATGCTTGGAAAACCATGAGCCTCCAAATATATATTAAGCTTGTGTTCAAAGTTCAGGAACAGCTGTGAAACATTTCAACTCATTACAAGTGAGTGGATTGGGTTTGTTGCAACAGTATCTCAGTTTTATCATGGTGTGTCTGTGCAATGAGTGAGTAAGTTTAGTTTTACGCTGCACTCCATTCCAGCTATATGGCGGCGGTCTGTAAATAATCGAGCCTGGACCAGACAATCCAGTGATCAACAGCATGCGCATCGATCTACGCAATTAGGATATGATTACATGTATCAACCAAGTCAGCGAGCCTGACCACCTGATCCTGTTAGTCGCCTTTTACAACAAGCATGGGTTACTGAAGACCAATTCTAGCCCAGATCTTCACGGGTGTGTCTGTTCAAGGAAAGGGTGAAATAGTCCACTCGCGTATTCGGTGAAATAATACGTATGAATTCAATTCAATACTTGTGATTTACAAACATTTTTAACAGTGTTCTTTTCACTGGGATCTAATTTGTTTTTTATCTAAGTGTGATTAGCCAAATCAAATATATCCAAGCCATGCAGCAGTGTACCCTGTGTCATTTTGCCAAGGCTACTTACAGCACTGTCTTCAGACTATATGTGGCATTGTCCACTTAGTATTGCTCCTTTGCTTTACAGAAATCATCACTGAAACTTTAGTGAAAGGTTTCAACCTCAGTAATTACATTATGTCTGTTATTTTAATTCCTTGCTATCAAACAAAGTATCCCTGAATAAATATTGATATTTGTTACAATACATTCATAAACCATATCATATTCACCTCATAGTATATTTGTTGCTGGCCTAATCTGAAACAGGTGACAGATGTTTACCAGTTTGGTGAAACCTGTGACCATGGGTATGGTGCTGACATAATCTGTGATTAGTTCACTAATCATAGGTTTCTTTTGTTGAGATATGTATAGTATATGGATGATACAAGCCATCAGGGCTAGATATTGATATACATCAATGAGATTGATTATCATTTACTAAATACTGATAAATTATCAAAAATACTTTTCTGTCAGCACTAGATTGATGAGATATTGTTCCTTTATGTGGATATGGATCACGTTGATGGATACATTCCTGGAACAAGGTAACTGCCTGATATATTTAACATAACTTTTGTTAGTTTTAATTTTGATATTTGCATTTTGATTTCATTCACTTCTTGCAGCATTCAACAGTACCAATCCACTTTATTTACGTTATTGTTGAGAATTTCTTCGATGTGAGATAGACATATTTTCACAAGCCTTTTCTGGATAGGCCTGTATGGGTAAAATACGGACATTTCTCAAATTCACTAAAAACAGATTGACTAAATATTTTTCAAAAGTCCATTAATACATTATAAAACATTTATCATGCTTGGATTATAAGCCGAAATTACCAAAAATGTATATTGATTTGAGTTTTCCTTCGATCCTAACATTTGAAGTCAGTAGGAAGGAAAATTAACCTTCAAAATGTTTGGAATTGTTACCACAATAAATGGACATATTTTGCAATCAGTTTGTACAGCACCTGAAATATTAAAGTGTCTCAAAGATGACTACATTTCCCAATTAACTGAAATACGAAACTATACATCATCTTTGCTGCTGAATGTGAGGATACACCCTTATACAATCAATTGTGCTTACAGGGGTCCCCCTCAAAGGTCGTAAAATGGGATTCTGGAATATCTTCTGGGTCCCCATGGTTAAAAAAAAGAAATAAACAAAGTGAAAAACAGTCCTGGGGAATTGCTCTAGATCAGTGCCCATTTAATCAATCTTGTCTTGACCATGTTGAGAAGGGCAGATGTGATAAAGTAAAGCACTGAATATACATTTTATTGATGCTGCTGTTGTCCTATCTCTTCTACCACGAACAGATCTAGTTGTCAAATAAACACAACCAAAACACCTGTCAGTAGATTATATTTATTGAATTTTGTTTGTCCTATTTTGCATCGCTTGAATATGATGAGCAGTCATCAATAATGTAACGCATATGGTTTAATGATATCTCTTTGTCTTATCTAGATCTATAACATTAATCTACACGATTACTCGATCTGATTTACAGAATATCACGATAGGCCAAATACAGGAGCTCAGTGGAGGATCATCCCAGTTCGAATGGTCGGTTGCTCATTTTCAAGTTTTTCTTGAAGTTTTTGCTGTATTCTTAAAAATGCAGGACTCTGTGTCTTAGTTAATATTTGATTCACGGTGCGGAAACAGAATACAATCCAGACTTGGCTTGTAAAAGATGTTTACATGATTCACACACTCTAGTCACTGCTAAAAAATCCATCCGTTTCATATCTTCCATGCTGGCAAATTGTGGTTGTGTAAAATCGAGATGAAAATATGTGTAGAGTTCACCTTCAGAATGACTGTTGATAAAAGACTATTCTGCGTTCTCTGTCCAGAGTGGCAAATATGTGACTGATTTATCAAAATTTAAGGTAAAGACAGCTCAAATAACAGTCAATGACATCTTACCAGGTGGAGAATCGTATGTTGGCATTTTGCTTCGACGGCTTTCCGCCATATCAGATTTGAATATGACGTCACAAGCACATATTCTGATGACGAAAGAACAAATGGGAAATTGTGAATTTTTACCAGTTACTTCCCTTATTCAATATATAGATGGTGTAAACTGACACTCTATATTTCAGGTCAAAGTAGCTTTCTCGGGCACTTGTGTACTATTTCAATAATATGTTCAACACGACCTATTTTCCTTTAAATGGTTCTCAAAACGGTCTTCTTATGGACCAAGGCATAACGTCGTGTATGGTTCAAGACTACAGATGTACACATGAAAAGAATGTATTCGTTCCTATGTTGTATGTTTTCGTTTAAAAAATCACACAGAAAAGTCATGTCTCTGCATTAACAATTACCAATCATCAACATGTACAGATCTTCACGAAGAAATACCAACACAAATGCACACTAGACATGTACATAATTCTGCTGCTCCTAATTTGGAAAGGTAACCTCTTTAGGAGCCACATAAAGAATAAATATTAATTTGATTGGTCGCCAGGTGTAACTGACTAATTAACCCGTTTCAATTAGCTGGGGATTTACATTGTTGTTTGTTGCTATAGCAACCTATTATTATCCTCAATTAACGAAGGGGGTGCCCTGTTAGTAAGGGTTCATTATGTAGGTGTTGAGGTGATATATTGTTTAGTGACAAGTGTTAATTTATACAGTGTGTTCCTGACCTTTATAATACTGATGATAATGGCCGTATATAATAAAGTACCGCTTAAAATTATATATAACGACGTTTTATATTTTGACATAAATTAGTAAACATCAACTTTATCATTATTATTTTCATTGTTGTTATTATCTCACAAACTGTCCTTTCAAATTGTTGTTAATAAAAAAATATAAAAACATTAGTCGTTTTCTACAGTCGTACGTCATGAAACATTTTAATGAAAAACAATACTTGTAACATTAATAACTTAAATTGTATCAGTTGTGAACTGATTTTTAGAGCATGACACAAAGGCTGCAAACTTGTGGTGAACAGCAATTAGAAAATAAACGTACTTATTCATGATAATACCTGAAAATAATATGTATACATGATTTTACAATGCTTTGAAAAAAAAAGACAATGCTTTCTCGGATTGTAGGGGGCGGGTCACTGATAACAATATGACAGATTTATCGTGGAAAATTGTGTGGCGCTATGGGTTCAAGATTTGACAATCATTTAATAATTAATATGATTCATCTCGTGGTGTAATAGTCGTGGTAACGAATCAGTACTTCGTTTTACATCATTGGGCAGGATAATGACAGAAAAAGACACGAACTTTGTGAGGATCACAATAAACTAATATGTTATATTTAGTTGTTGCAAGTGGAAATGTTAGGTTGCAACCAGGCGATTCTATGCCATAATATTAAATATAGCTAGTGGTAATCCATGTACCTTTCGCATGACCTGACGTCATGCACTACTTTGGGAACCTGTTTACCATCCGGCTCGAAAGTATATCAATGGGCAAGCTTCTTCATTTAAACAAAAATATATTTATGTAAGAACTGGTATCTGATAGAGGGTAAATGGAAGTAAATATCTAGTGTGTTTTCTTGACCTGTCCACTCTGGTTAAATATTTTATGTGATTAGCGTAACGGTAAATTGTACACGCACTCTTTAGGGAATGTCGCAGTAGAAATGAGTGAAGCAGCCGTGGCAATTTATGGCTGTTCGACTGCCCTGATTTTACCCCAACTTTCACATTTGCTGTGCTGTTTATTGTATTAATTTAAGATCTGAAGGTATGTGTCTGCAATAGTTTGACATCTTAAGATCTTTGAAATAGCTTCTAATTTGCATGTGCATCACGTTATTCATAGTATGTATTGCTTTAATACAGTGACCCTCTACGAGTTAGAAATCGCATTTCAATCATTTGACGTTTCTCGCAATAAGATATCTGGAAGCTACGACATCGTTATAAAATTGCACCGTTGTGTCAGGAACTTGTGAGTAGCTGTGTCAATAAAAGATTATCGATTTCGTATGTTGCTTTCGTTTTAGATATCTCGGAGATACGTGTAGCCGCAAAATAACAACAGTAAACAATCGCCGAAATTCCGGTTGTAATATTGCGTTATGAATGTGATCTGTCAAATTTAGCGGATTGTGATAAATTGACATCAGTTGATCTTTGGATGTACGGTGTTAAGTATTGTCGCACATTATTAGTTCTATTGTTTAATCCAGTTACGGAACTGTATTTTAACTTTTATATAAATGAACGTGTCATCTGAATTGTCCAAATTGAGACTAGCTTATTGTGTGTGACCTCAATAAATCCAATGTGTGTTAATCAGATGACCAATATTTAACATAACCATTTGTCACGTATGTAACTTCTATTGGATTATGGTTCATGAATGTGAAATGGAACCTGTCTATATTGTGATTCACATTTGTTGTATTTTAAACTTATCATCTGTGTTTTCTCAGGATATTGCCAAGATGTGACACAACAGATGGCCACTCATTCTGCACGGCATAATATATCAACTAAAAAGACTACGCTTGTTCATAAAATGATGAATAGAATGGTGACTCGTGTTTACTAGAAAGTCTTCAGGGATGTGTGTTGTTTGTGCTGGGCAATGGAAGCAGGTCAGAAAGGGGCAGATAATTCAGAGTTGGTCTTATCAGGAATTCCCAAGATGGATACATCAGGACTGCCATTGCCCATTATACAAGCAGCTGATCTACAAAATTGTCAGGCATTTCCAGATCAGGGAACATCTCTTTCGTATGTTTTCCCCACGATTCCGCTCTCAATCAATGCTTCCATACCACTGCTCACAGAAGGACTAAAAACTCTTCCTGTAGTGAAAGAAGAAAAAGGATTAAGGCAAACATTTGATCCAGTCACAACACAAGCACTGCAAGACATTGTTAATTCAGGTTTATATGTACCTTTCACAAAAATGTCAGATTCTAATTTTACACAGAATAGTGACAGTGGAAAAGATGTGAAAAGTGGTTTTGAAAGACAAGACATGCAGACAGTTGGTGGCAATCTAACTGAGGATAAAGGCATGTCACCCCTGAACATTTTAGTGGTATCGTATCCTGACACTGGTCAACAGAGTCCTTCTGTAACTCAAGCTGGAGCGCAAGGACTTCGGTTTCAGTCTGCAGGTGGTGCAGGGGATGCCATGTTGAGTGCTATAAACTACAACGACAGCGACATGCTGCCAGACAGTGCCTTTGATATGAATGCTGCAAATTCTGCTCCAAACCTGCCACACTTAGATGATGGAATTCTTGGCAGTATGGGAAACCCAGCTCAGAATATCCGTTTGACAGAGGGCCATCCTACTCATTCATTTGATTTATTTGACAGTAATGTGCATGACACATTGTCACTTTCACCTCAGCCTTTCTCGGATCCAAGTTTTTTCAGTTACAGAAACAAGTAACTTAAGTGCTACAACTGGGGATTCAGAAGGTGATTTTCATTTTCTATCTTAACATACAACCTCAAATGTTCAAATATCAACGAAGATCTGACTAAATTGTTTATGTTGTGGATTGTCTTCTGAATGTGCAAACAGCTGGAGAAGCTGCATTCGGAGACATAGGGTTGAATTGGATAATAGCCAATTATGTACGCAGTTGTAAAACATATATACATGTGAACATTGCTGTAAATATCCTTCATAACATGCTTTAGGATTAAGACTTGTTTTGAAACACCATTTATATTTGTTGATTTGTGTGTTTTCATAATCATTGTCATCACGATATGGCTGAAATATTGCTGATGTGACGGTAAATTTTAACTCACTCACTCACTCATAATTATTGTGAAGTTTCAATATTAGTTTACAACTACTATATTTTTGTTTTAGCATATTGCTATCAGTAAATTAGTACATATAAACACAATTGAAATAAGCTGAAACACTTTGAAAACATGTTTTTGAGTTTCTGTTTGGCAAAATTGCCACAAAATTAACATCAAGTTGTTTGGGGTATTTTTGGAATAAGCTGATCAAACACCACAATCTGTTTGAATTGGTTGGAAAGTCATTTGATGTGTTTTGAGATGGACTTGTGGACAATAAAATATGTTTTCTGATTTAAATGTAACTGAAGTACTCATGACCTAACAATGCCTCTGATGTTTCATGAATATTGTACAGTTGAACAATTATTTGATAAGTTCAGATATCTCTGCTTGTTTATTTGTTTTGTATTGGCTATTTATAATGTTTAAAGAACAATTTGAAATGTTATCTCATTACACACTTGTCTGACAGCAGGTAGTGGTGAGCGGCGACAGTCTGTAGAATCTCCTACTGATGGTGCTAGTAAAGCCAAAGGTAAAAACCGCCAGCCCAAGGCTCAGGTGTCTCCGTCTAAAACTATGATACAGTGTCCCACCTGTAACAAAGCTTTCAACAACTCCAGTGCCTTGGCCAAGCATCGCCTCACACACAGCGATGAGCGCAAATATGTTTGCTCCGTCTGTCAGAAGGGCTTCAAACGACAGGATCATCTGTAAGATTTTTGCGTTTATTTTGCTCTGATATTGTTTTCCATATATACTAGCAGGTTTTGATGTGATATAGTTGTGATGATTGTGTGCATATTTTAACATGTTTATGATTGTAGCTTGATTTCCGTTAGGATTAAGGAACCGTAATTTTATAATAGTAATACAGTCACTTATATAGCGATAAACGTGATGCTACAGGGACATGCTCTAAGTGAATACAGCATGGTGGACATCATTACCCCGGGTAACCAAAGCTGTCTGTGAGGCACTAGAATGTTAACGGTCCTCACTTATCCTACCTGGTAGCCAATTTTGAACATGCTCACTTGCCTAATTTGAGACCACAAGTATACTTCGTTGTGGGGTAGGGGTGGTAGGGTAGCCTAGTGGTTTAAGCATTGGCTCGTCATGCCGAGGACCCGGGTTTATTTCTCCACATGGTACAATGTGTGAAGCACATTTCTGGTGTCCCCCGCAGTGATATTGCTGGAATATTGCTGAAAGCGGTGTAAAACTAAACTCGCTCACTCGCTCGTTGTGGGGTAGCACATAAGTCCTAGAAACTTTCAGGAGTCATACACCAATGTTGATTATCAAATTACTTGAAGATCGTTGACTAGCATTTGCTTCAATCACCAACCCTTAAAGGAAAGCTATATGCTTTCAAATGTCAATCCTGGATGTTCAATAACCAGTACCTTCTTTGCTTGCGCTTTTGTATTCGTTTTTCAAATTCTGTGTTTTTTGTGATGAACGATGAATAATTTAATCCTGTCAGAAGGACTGATTGTTATTTGTGATCTTGTCAGATTGATACTGAACAAAATATACAAGAAACAGAATGTATATAAGGAATGTATACTTTTGTTAGTTCAGACGTCACAAATAGACAATCACTATGATGACATTGCTTTCATTAGAATGTACATATTATTAAGATGCATTGGATGAAAACTGGGTCCTTTTATGGTTGTAATTGGTTTGTAATTAGCCTTTGTCTTAAGGGCACCTAATGGGATCAGCTGGGATCACTGATTTGGATGATTCATATCATCTTCTTCCAATTGTGTTTCGTCACGATATGAAATATTGAAATATTGCCGATGTGATGTTAAATATTAACTCACTCACTCACTCCAATTGTATAGGTCAATGCTCATGATGTCTATCGCTGGATTTTCTTGTTCAGGCGTGATTGTTTACAGACTGCCATCATATAGCTTGAATATTGCTGAGCAAGGCAATAAATTACAAAAAAAACAACCCAAAGTAGTCTGTCTCATCTGATCAGTTGATTACTTTGACCATCATGGTTAAAGGTCAGCTGACCCTGCTCAACTTGGCTGATGATGGTTTCCTAACATTCCAATCATGTTAATGGTGATTTGTTACATGGAGAGTGGGCGGTGGGGTATCCTATTGGTTAAGGTGTTCCCTCGTCATGTCGAAGACCCAGGTTCAATTCTCCACATGGGTACATTGTGTGTAGCCCTTTTCTGGTGTCCCCTTCCGTGTGATATTGCTGGAATATTGCTGAAAGCTGGGAAACTAAACTCGCCACTCGCCCGTTGTGGGGTAGCACATAAGTCCTAGAAACTTTCAGGAGTCATACACCAATGTTGATTATCAAATTACTTGAAGATCGTTGACTAGCATTTGCTTCAATCACCAACCCTTAAAGGAAAGCTATATGCTTTCAAATGTCAATCCTGGATGTTCAATAACCAGTACCTTCTTTGCTTGCGCTTTTGTATTCGTTTTTCAAATTCTGTGTTTTTTGTGATGAACGATGAATAATTTAATCCTGTCAGAAGGACTGATTGTTATTTGTGATCTTGTCAGATTGATACTGAACAAAATATACAAGAAACAGAATGTATATAAGGAATGTATACTTTGTTAGTTCAGACGCCACAAATAGACAATCACTATGATGACATTGCTTTCATTAGAATGTACATATTATTAAGATGCATTGGATGAAAACTGGGTCCTTTTATGGTTGTAATTGGTTTGTAATTAGCCTTTGTCTTAAGGGCACCTAATGGGATCAGCTGGGATCACTGATTTGGATGATTCATATCATCTTCTTCCAATTGTGTTTCATCACGATATGAAATATTGAAATATTGCCGATGTGATGTTAAATATTAACTCACTCACTCACTCCAATTGTATAGGTCAATGCTCATGATGTCTATCGCTGGATTTTCTTGTTCAGGCGTGATTGTTTACAGACTGCCATCATATAGCTTGAATATTGCTGAGCAAGGCAATAAATTACAAAAAAAACAACCCAAAGTAGTCTGTCTCATCTGATCAGTTGATTACTTTGACCATCATGGTTAAAGGTCAGCTGACCCTGCTCAACTTGGCTGATGATGGTTTCCTAACATTCCAATCATGTTAATGGTGATTTGTTACATGGAGAGTGGGCGGTGGGGTATCCTATTGGTTAAGGTGTTCCCTCGTCATGTCGAAGACCCAGGTTCAATTCTCCACATGGGTACATTGTGTGTAGCCCTTTTCTGGTGTCCCCTTCCGTGTGATATTGCTGGAATACCGTAATAGCGGCATAAAACCAAACTCACTCACTCACTCACACACATGGAGAAAGACCCATGTGGTCATGTTTTTCTTTTCCAAATATTCTTTGAATGTGCACATAATGTGATGGCTACTTGGTATTACAGCAACGGTCACATGATGACACATCGAGAGAAGAAGCCATACCAATGTCAGATGGAGGGTTGTGAGAAGAGTTATTGTGATGCCCGATCTCTGAGGCGTCACCTGGAGGCAAACCACCACCAGTCACCTGAGGCCATTGCTAGCAGTGTTCAAGCCAGTATGGCTGCAGCTGGTATTCCTACAACCACCACAGGAAAACCCCGACCTGCAGAGAAGCTGGCGGTGCAGGAGGCTGTGAGTCGGATGCAGATGGGGTCCCCCCTCCTACAGCGCCAACACAACCCCCTCACCTAGTCCCAGCTACACAAGCCCCAACCCACAAGGACAGATATTCCAGTTTGAGCCCCAGTCTGGTTTGCCAACCACTGTTGTATCCACACAACAAGCTACACCACCCCAGGACCAATCCTGGCAGGAAAGAGCCAGGGTGTATGATTTTGTAGGTAAGGTCTAAGCAGAGAGATACTGAATATCATCCTTTGACGTACTCAGAAATTCCAGTTCCCAAAGACTTGTGGCAAAGACGTGTGTAAAGATTACTTCACTGGTCCACACTGTGTATTACAAGTCCAGCTTGAATGAGATAAAGTATTTACTCTGTTTACATTATTAGTTAGTTTTGTTCAGTTCCAACATTGTCCAATTTGTAGCAAAATTGTAACATTGAAAACTTTTATTGAATTGTCTTCAAGGCTACCAAGACTTCTTTAACATATTTTTGATGTGACTAATTGGAAGTTAATTTATAAGATTCAATAGAGAGAGATTATTTTTGCTTCCACCTACATTTAATTGTGTCCAAACATCATGCACATGGTCACAAATTAATATGTAAGAGTACTGAGAGTATGAGCCTTATATCATGTCCATAGCTGAGTTTCTGGAAGTTTGCCTGTACCATGGATCAAGTTCTTGTATGTTTGAGGTTTCAGCCAATAGAGTTTAATTGGTTGTCAGATTGGGGGTACTGTCCTGAAGTTATATATTGGTGTCTAAATGAGAGCAGTTATCAGCATTTGTTAGAACCCATGCTTGTATTTGTTTTTCTTTTCTTATTGTTGAAGGCACCACAGGCTCCAGCCAACCCAGCCCACACAGTGGGGATCAGTCGCCAGGGTATGCTGCTCAGGTGAGCCCAGTGACACCAGTCAGTCCGATTCCCCACAACCAACCCACCAGTCCACTCACAGGACAGCAGCGACCAGCATGGTTCACTACCACACCAGCACCACAGACGGAGAACAAGACTTCAAGGTAGGAACATTACCTTACCAGTATGATGATCAAGGGGAGATAAGTATGCTTGCAGCCATGATCCTTGGGTGGAATTGTCAATTTTAAAACTATAAATATAGTCTCTTTTTTGAACAGGATTTAGCTGGTCAATAAACCATTTTGACAACCATTCTTGTACAGTGTTTTTTTTTGTAAGAGGAACTTTACGTTTCATGAGAATCACAATCTAGGTTTGCCAAGGGAGATAACTCTTGTTTGCAGTAACAATGTTTCCGATTGCACAATATTCTGCAATAAAATTTTAAATAAGTGGTTGGTAAGTCAGGTAAAGATGAGGTAAGAAATGCTCTGTGTGTTTGTAATGTTGTATGTGTACCATATTTGTTACAAAAGACGGTTTCACTGGCTATAAGTTCATGTTGATTTCTTTCGTAGTGATGAAACCAAGCCACCTGTCCAGTGCAGCATCTGCCAGAGGCGGTTTAAAAATATTCCAGCTCTCAATGGTCATATGCGTCTTCATGGAGGATATCTTAAAAAGGTTTGTTTATTTCATTTTAAATAAATGTATCAGTAAAATTTACTGTAAAAGTTAATTTTAGATCTATAGTCAATCATTCTATTGTCCGAAAAAAACTGTTATGGTCATTATGGTCAAACATGAAAAGTGTTTCTTATTACTAATAAATCACAGTATTCTTTTTCAGAAGAAGTCCTCCTTGGGGTACATATAAGCATTTAAATGTCCATTTAAAATCCCACGACAGTTGTAATTATATTTTTTAATAAAATATTTACAAAACAAAAAACTCCTTTTTGTCTTGTGAGACCCATCCCTACATGGCCCCCTCGGGGCCTCCTACAGCCAAGAGCAGGTAACTCTAGCCGTCAACCTCGCACCTCACTTTTCATGCTGCTCTTGGCTGTAGGGGGCCCCGAGGGGGCCCTGTAGGGGTGGTTTCACAATACAAAAAGGAGTTTTTTGTTTTGTAAATATTTTATTAAAAAATATAGTTACAACTGTCGTGGGATTTTAAATGGACACTCAAATACTTATATGTACCCCAAGGAGGACTTTCTTCAAAGAATTCATAACCTCTACAGGTTTGTATAATTTTTATTGCAAGGGGATTTCATATTATTATTTACCTCATATTCTATTCTCATCACCGTCTTCTGAGTAAATGCTTTATTTGTATGTGCAGAGTAAAGAAGAAAAGAAGGCGGCTAAAAAGACAGAGATGGGACCTCCTCCACCCCCCTTCCCCAAGACAAACAGTAGCTGCAGCCAACCCAACACAGCTGCAGGTCCAGATGAGTCCAGTGTTGCCCAACATCAGCCAGGCATTCCAGACACTGTCCACAACACCAGAAGTGAGCACCAGTCAGAGTACGCTACAGGCTTGTGGACTGACCACTGTCACTGTGCACCAGGGTCAGATCAGTCATGACAGTCAGCTTCTTAGGCAGCAGCAGCCACAGCAGGTCATCCACCAGCAGCTTCAGCTTCATCCCAATCCACAAATTCTAGAAGAACAAAGTACTAATTCCATAGAAGAACAAATAAAGAATCTTCAAGCCCAAGCGTTCCAGCAGCAGCAGCAGCAACAACAACAGCAAGATCAGCTGGCAGCAGCCCAGGATCAGCTTCCAACTTCACATGCTCAACAAGCTGCTCAGCAGATCCAGCAGTTGGTTCAAAGTGTGCAAACAGACCAGCTCCCTCAACTTACAGTACAGCAGCTTGAACAGCTGCAGCAACAACCAACTCAACAGATACAAGTTCAGCAGCCATTAGGACAGATTCATCAGTTGCCCCAACTGTCAGCACAGCAGATAGAGCAGTTGCAGCAGCAACACTTACAACTTGGGCTGCCAGCTCAGCTCCAGGCAACCCAGCTTCATCAACTCGTGCAGGAGCATCATCTACACCAGTTGCAGCAGCAGCAGGTATCTCAAGCAGAGGTAATCACCACCCATTCCCAGCCAATCTCATCTTCTCAACAGTTCATTCAGCTGACACCCCAGCAACAGCAACAGCTGCAGCAGCTGGCAGAGATCACACACATTCCTGTGCAGGAGATGTTGGATGATTCGAAGGATAGTGCAGCAGAAAAGCAGCAGCAAATACAGCAGATTCAGCAGCATCTGGCGGCTGTGGACCCCCAGACTGCTCAGAGTAGCAGCCAGCAAAATCCCTTCCCTCAGAATGTAGAGTTTACATCTGCAGGAGATGTTCAGATTGCTCAACACCAGTCTCAGGACTTACCACAGCAAATTAACTTGGATATTGCTGCTAGAGACTTGCCACCAAATTTGGAACTCCAACTGCCACAGCAGTTATTGCCCCTCCAGTCTCCACCTATAACACTTAACTCTGTGGCTATACAGAGCAGCTTGCAAAATGCACTCAGTTTAGTGCCTCATCTTGAACAAAGACATGTGCTGTCAGGCAGTGGACAGACCCAGTTTGTCAGTGCCCCACATCTGACTACGGGGCCAATATCTTTGTCACCTGTAACAGACAACCAAGAGGTGACTGTTGCTCAGCTACTTAACAGTATGGCCAACTTTCAGGAGGGTCTGTTACTGCAGCCCACAAGTCAAACACAGACAGGAATCCCCAGTGACATTTCAGTGATGCAGAGTCAGCCATCTGTGACCCTTCAACAAGATAACTTGTCAAATATTCAGTCAACATTTAACCCTCTCCACATGCCACAGTCTGTCTCAATTCAGTCTCTTCCAACACCACAACAAATGTTGGACAGCATTACCTCAATGCCTCACTTATATACTATTAAATCAGAACCTTTGCCAATGGACGTTCAGAGTCCAGTCTTGGGAGAAGGGAGCATGGCTCCGAAACACAAAAGTGACTTTAAGCCAATTGTAGAACAGAATAGTGAACTTAAACGTAGATTGTCTGCTGATTTAGATAGGAGCTCCCCTAAGAAACTTTTAACTTCGCAGAACAGTCTTGCTATGCTCCTCACCAGACCAGGTGGTGATAGCTTTGCTAAGCCATCAGTCACTAAAGACTTGGATGCTTTGAGCAGGGTTAGAATGAGGAGTAAGTCAGGAGACGATCACAAATTAAAAAGATCAAAAAGTGTTGATCACACATTCATGCGACCAAGAAGTCGCACTGAATCTGAATCAATATATAGACCAAAAAGTAGAGTTGATGACACAATTATTGGGAGAGCTAAGAGTCACCCTGATGATATGCTGTCCAGATCTGATGGTGCCGGTGTGTTCAGAAATCCCATGTCCGCCAGTCCCATGAAGGTGAAACGAAAACATAGACCAGCTCCTCTGTTTATTCCATTGCATCTAAATAGCTTCCAGAGTCGTCTTCGCTCCCCACGTCTGTGGGATGGAGGTGATGGGCGACTCCGAGGTTCCACTCCTCCACCATACACTCCACCACCAATGCTGAGTCCTATTAGAAGTGGCAGTGGCTTATTTTGGACCTTACCAGGCATCAAACCCATCACTCCCAGGTCGGCACCAATCACACCAAAGCTTTCTCTGGCTAACAGGAGAGGTAAGTAAACATTTAAAGACTGCTTGATATAGTCACATTCTCGACATGTTTGATTTTGAAAAAGAATATGTTTCTTATCAGATGTTGTATATCGTTGAATCCATTTTTTCTGAGTTAAATTAAGTAAAAACAGGTTTTAAGAATGTGCTATGATAGTTTAAAAATGATTCAGTAAGGACTGAATGTAAACAATTGTTTTAGCGAGCCATGGGCAGAAGCCAGAAGCCATACCAGAGGTTGTTGAGGAAGAACAAGAAGAGGCTCCACCAGAGACCGATATTCAGCCGTAAGTAACATCACCTTGACGTAACAGACCTACATGGAACATTTGCTTCAGCCCAAATTTAATACTGGTAGTTAAGGTTTCTAGTTGTAATTATGAAATGATTTTAGATATGATAGATTTTAATGATGGCAACTGGATATTTCTACATATCGATTGAGTTATTTTTATCAAGGTGTGTATTACACAGTATGCCAGAATGTGTTAAATATGACTGTTCAAATGTTATATGGTTGGAAATGTAAGTATGACACAATATTGATGAGTACTTGAACAATATATGTTTGTCTTCGTTCTTTGTTCATTGGGGTGGTGGGGTAGCCTAATGGTTAAAGCGTTGGCTCGTCACGCCGAAGACCCGGGTTCGAATCCCCACATGGGTACATTGTGTGAAGCCCATTTCTGGTGTCCCCCGCCGTGATGTTGCTGGAATATTGCTAAAAGCGGCGTCAAACCAAACTCACTCACTCACTCACTCTTTGTTCATTCTTGTCAGTCAGTAAGCATATATTTTAAGAGTTATGACATTAAGTTCACGTGTTGTTTGTAATAGAATTGTGAAAGTGAGCATCCCTCTTTCAGACATGTCAACGTTGGAACACAATACCAAGCAGAGTTACCAGCTTATAACTGTAAGTGTCAAAGCCAAAGTTATCTTGTTTGTTGTTTTAATGCTGCACCCTGCAATATTCTAGCTATATGTCTAAACATGCTGGGACCAGACAATCTAGTGATTGATATTATGATATTAGCAGGGATAAACCTAGAACTTATTTTGGGTGGGCCAATGCCTCACCTGGTTAAATGTGGCAGGGGTTCAAAAATCTTTTTAAAAGCCACTTGCCACAGGGCAAGTGCCTTTAAGAAAGTAACTTGTCCTGGCTAATTTTCCACTTGCCCTGATTTTGATGACATAATCATGATGGTGTAATTATGAAAGAATAAATCAACATGGTATTTGTCTATTTGATGTTAATGTTCACTGGACTATTTAATGAGGAGTGATATATGGCAAAGAAGGATAACTCTACTTAATTATCATTGCAAAATTTAATAGCTACATTTTGAACAGATATGAAATGAAATCCAAGTTTATTTACAGCTTGAAACCGTAAGCAGAGATTATCTAGTAGCCCACAGACAAGTAAGATACCAGTATTTGATTGCTAGAAATGAAAACTGACTTGTCCCGAGTGTCGGGCAATGGGATTTTTTGAACCCTTGATTTGGGTGGACCCCAATGGTGATAGGAGGGTCCAAGTGCCCCACCAGGTTAATTTTATGTGGGCCCCTTTTAGATTTGGGTGTTTCAAGTTTTCAGCTAAATGTATTTACTTAATTTGCATGTTAATAAACTGTTTACATAACCTCATAATTTTTTGGGAGACCTGATCATTCACTATCATGAACGAAAACCGAAACCAAAAAGTTACCAAATGAAAGATTTTTAGAAACACACTCTTTCATTGGCTGAATTTATTACCAGTCAGGGATATTATTGCATGTGGAGTAAAACTGGTTCACTTAATAGTCTTTTGCGGGATTGTGGTGACACTAACAATATTTATTGCATTTTATTTACTTAGGCCGCACTTGTATTTTTTGGATGTGAAGTTTTCAAATATTTTGTGTCCACACACAACCCAAATTTCTGACAGCAGCAATTCATATTTTGATGTGGAAATGCTGCAGAAACACATCCTAGGTTTATCCCTGTATTAGCATCATAGTGTTATGATGATACTCAGTCACCTGATCTGGTAAATGGCCTTTTAGAACCAGCAAAGGTTGATTTGATATCCTGTAAACGGATGGTCATTGAAAAGAGATCATTGTGATTGCAGTTATTTGAAACACAAATGAAACACTTGCCAGCGGTTGTAATATAAACTCCACTGCCTTGTTTCATTAAATGTCACTCTATCATAAAAGGTATGTGACAGTAATATATCAAGCTATAAAGGTACTGAGTTCAGAAACAATTTCAAGAAAGGCTTGGCTTGGTATCATGTGTCAGGGCCTACAAGTCATGATAACTATTTCTGTTATTGACCCGTGAAGATCCGGGGTAGAATCAGTCTTCAGCAATCCATGTGCTTGCCACAAAAGGCGACTATGCTTGTCGTAAGAGGCGACGTACGGGATCGGGTGGTCAGGCTCGCTGACTTGGTTTTTACACATATCATCGGTTCTCAATTGCGCAGATCGATGCTCATGCTGTTGATCGCTGGATTGTCTGGTCCAGACTCGATTATTTACAGACCGCCACCATATAGCTGGATTATAGCTGAGTGCGGCGTAAAACTCAACTCACTCACTCACTATTTCTGTTATTAATTCTGTCTTATTAATGTGTTCTTATTATAATGATCACTATGATTATCTTGCAGTGGACATGCACCTTCAGAAGTACTAAAGGTGGTAACAAATGGGCATGAATCTCTACATTGATTTTACTTAATGTGCTGTACTTCAGCAATTCTTCATGAATATGTACTTTTGTGTTATATTTTCAGCTGATCGATCAAGAGCAGCAAAACATGTGTTTGGGGAAGACCTGGTTTGGGAACCTAGAGGAATGGGGTCAAACTCTGATGAGGATGGTGAGTCCAATCATTGTTTTAGGTTTTCCATCTGTGTGAAAGGGAAAATTATTTGCATGTTTGCATGTTAACAGCGTCAGTGTTGGGTCATAAAGGTAAATGCACATGCAGTTCATGATAGTTACCTGTGCACTGCACAGTGATAGACCGATTGGATCATTCACATTGACTACTTCTAGCTGTCATCATGAAAGCTTATTCAGATGATGCTAAATGTTTAATTAGAAATGTGTTGGATTTTTTTTAAAAAGAGAGCAAACATAGCAAACCGATTTATAAGGTGTCGGATTACATGAAACGTACAACTTTTGCTTTTGGCATGAAAAAGAACATCATGCTAAAAATTGTGAAAAATAAACCAACAACCAATAAACAAAACCTTGTACAAAAAGGTAGGCATCCAAAGTTAGATTCTTTTGACATCAGGGTCATCAGCATAGCTGACCTACATTGACGAACGTTGACCTTTATGACCCAACACTGCCGCTGTTACAGGTCATTGGCTCCCTCCCTCTGCAAGCCGTCTGTGTTCTGCTGTTTATTTTGTTGACAGTTACATAGACAGATTATTTAATACAAATGCATAAAATCGGTGATTTCCAATGTGATTAGGTTGTCTGACAAAACATCCACTTGCACAGTTTGAGATCGACTGGGTCATTGGATGAAGAGATATTTAAAAAAAAACTGGGTCCACATGCATTTCATGCCAAACTATAAGTTGTGGTCACGTTGTATTTCATCTCCATAGATGGTTCTCTCGGTCTTTGCCCGGGTGAATCAGTTTGGACTTGAACACTTCACCCTCCATCTCAAAGGGTACAGGAGTGTGGGTGTGGTTCACCTGCAGAACAGCATGTTGCCACAGATGCATTGTAACCAGCAATTACGCAGTTACAGTACTTCTTTTCTCCGCGACTTTACTTACATCTGAATCCGTAAAGGTCCGGGTTAGAATTAATCTTCAGGAACCCAGGCTTGTCGTAAGTGGTGACTAACGGGATTGGGTGGGGTGGCTCACTGACTTGGTTGACACATGTCATCGGTTCCCAACTGCGCAGATCGATGCTCATGCTGTTGATCACTGGATTGTCTGTTCCAGACTTGATTATTCACAGATCGTCGCCATGTAGGTGGAATATTGCGGAGTGCAGTGTAAAACTAAACTCACTCACTCCTTCACGTCTTGCATCTGAACTTATACTTGTCGGAAAACAAGTGTTTACCGCCTCTGACTGTCTCCATGAATGAAATTAGAACCTGTGCATGAGCCATTTTAGTAACAATCATTTATTCATTTCATTTGTATTCCCCCGCGGCATGTAATGCGGGTGATATACAGTCAGACCTCGTATATCCGAACTTCAGATATCCGAATACCTCGGTTTCCGAACATTCTTCACAAAAAACAAGATTTTCTAGTTACAATTTACCTTGTATATCCGAATGTTCGGTTTCCGTATCCGAACGGTCAATTTTAGTAACGAAACAGCCAAATATGTACAAATTTGCCTCATATATACGAACACCAAGGCTAACGTCGGCAAGATGTCTGATGTTTACCGCTCCTCAACAGTGCTATCATGTCTACCGCGTGTCAAAACATTGTGCCGCAAAGCTGCTAGTTAATTCATTGTTTGATCTGTTTTCATTGTTTATTGAATATTTATCATAGGGCGTGTAGGTTAGTTAGAGAAGAAACAATTAAATGACATTGAGTTGACACTGATTCGAGTCATTGATTGAGTAGGCATAAATAAAGACGGAGGTGTATGCTAGATATAGAAACAACACCAAGGCATGGATGGCAGCAGAGCTGTTTCATGATTGGCTGCTGTCTTTTGATCGACAGATGAGGTCACGTGTAAGGCGGGTCAATATGCTTGTTGACAATGCGGGTAGTCACAACTGTTAAAATCTGAAACTGCACAGCGTGACTGTCCATTTCCTGCCACCCAAGTGGCAACGCAACCGCACACATTCAGCCAATGGATGCAATGGATTTGAAAATGTCGGCGACCTCACAAACCTTGAGCTGTTGTTAAAAATCCAAGCAGCGAATAACAACTCTGTACATCAACAATCATCAGTCAAAGACTTTTTCAAGCCGATGTAATTTATGTTATGCAAGATGTTATGTTAAGTAAAGATGTAGTTATGTTTCACTGTTATTTTTAGTTGTTTTGTTTTTGCTGGTAGCCGACCGCCTAGGTCCTGATTCAGATATCCGAATGATTCGTTTGTCTGAACAATTCCATAAAAAACCAAAGTGTTCGGATAAACGAGGTCCTACTGTAGTCGACGCCTTGTCCGTCCGTCCGTAATCATTTTGTTTAAAAAACCGTTCAATATTTTTCAATAAAAATTGGTGGATATATCAAACAGAACCTAAAGTGGTGCCTTTTGCTATTTACAGATTTTTGTGATTTATTATTTTCTCAGCTTCCATAGAAATGATTCTGACTAAGTCTCAAAAAGGAGGGGTGGGTTTCGTTTCCGGAGCACAACTCGAAAACTTCTTAATATCTTTCAGCAAAACATGGCAGATATATGAGACAGATCTTGAAGTAGTGCCGTTTGCTATTTACAGATTTTTGGCATTTTTATTTTTCCCAGTTTCCATGGAAATGATTCGGACTTTGTCTCAATAGGGAGGGGTTGGCTTCGTTTCCGGAGCACAACTCGAAAACCGTTGCATATCTTTCAGCAAAACTTGGCAGATATGTTAGGCAGATCTTGAAATGGTGCCTTTTGCTATTTGCAGATTTTTGGCATTTTTATTTTTGCCCGGTTTCTATGGATACGATTTGGACTTAGTCTCAAAAGGGAGGGGTTGGCTTCGTTTCCAGAGCACAACTTGAAAACCGTTCAATATCTTTTAACAAAACTTGGCAGATATATGAGACAGATCTTGAAGTAGTGCCTTTTGCTATTTACAGATTTTTGTGATTTATTATTTTCTCAGCTTCCTTGGAAATGATTTGGACTAAGTCTCAAAAAGGAGGGGTGGGCTTCGTTTCCGGAGCACAACTCGAAAACTTCTTAATATCTTTCAGCAAAACATGGCAGATATATGAGACAGATCTTGAAGTAGTGCCTTTTGCTATTTACAGATTTTTGGCATTTTTATTTTTCCCAGTTTCTATGGAAACGATTCGGACTTAGTCTCAAAAGGGAGGGGTTGGCTTCGTTTCCGGAGCACAACTCGAAAACCAGTGCATATCTTTCAGCAAAACTTGGCAGATATGTTAGGCAGATCTTGAAATGGTGCCTTTTGCTATTTGCAGATTTTTGGCATTTTTATTTTTCCTGGGTGTAATTGTCAGATGATTTGTTCTTTCATATATGTGGGGGCCGGAGTTATTTGTCATCTTCTGATCACTCTTGTTATTATAAGGGATGAAACTATAAGGATGAACTCAGTGTCAATTTATAGTTTACACAACAAAGTAACAAAACTGTCTGATCTATTGTTGTATCAAACAATTTGTTTTTAAACTCTTTCTTTACTGATAACATGGCTTCTCAGATTTTAATAGCATTAATTTGGATCAAACAGAACTTCTCATATGTTTGTTAACATACCAAACACATGGACGCTCAACTAATTTACGGTAACCTGATGTTTTCTTTGCAACTATCATGTTGACGCTTTCCCGGCAATACCCGACAGAATCTGGTGTGACGCTATACTAAAAAATGAAATGTCGCTTTCCCGGGCCGACACCGTCTGTGATTAATCTGAAGTTGTGAACATTTCAAAAGCCTGTGCAGTAAAAAAATCCTTATAATTTTCTTTATTATATCTGCACTACATAATTTCTCAAATCTCTGGATTATTACCAGAATTAGCAAGTATCTACAATATAAGAGAACCTACTTCATTCACTACAGTTACATGATTCTAGGGGGCACTAGAGTAGCTTTGAGGTTATAGGGGTGAATGTGTTACTGAATGTTTCAAGGGGGAGGTGTACTATCATTGTCATTTGCAGCACAGAGGCATAAGACCATACACTTCTTGATTGTAATTATATCGGTATCTTATCTTATTAGCTATTTCTGTGACATTTAATTTGGCCAGGTTCGAATCCCCACATGGGTACAATGTGTGAAGCCCATTTCTGGTGTCCCCCGCTGTGATGTTGCTGGAAGATTGCTAAAAGCGGCGTAAAACCAAAACTCAGTGTCAGTCAGTCAGACATTTAATTTGAAAGTTTAATTACATGTGTATCTGTTCTGTTATGATTATTATGATTATGATTATGATTATGATTGTGATGTTTCTATTTTCTGTCTACAGTGCAATATTACCAGGACTTTGCATGTTCTGCAGCTGTGAAGGGCAACGGCTCTAATGTTGAATATGCTCTCCATCTACTCTACCTGTGTGAGGGAAATGTGCAGGTATTGTCATTTGGCATGTTAGCCTCTCTACCAGATCTGGAACGTTGTGACATGCTCTAGCATAATAATGAGTATTCCAGATTTATCTTGTAATGTATACTTTTCTGGTACCCATGTGATATATTGAGGAAAAAATGATTTCAATAATAACTCACATCCAAAACATGGAGTATTTATCTATCACTGTGGATGGGGTGTGGTTGTAAGGCTCAAGCAACCTTTGCTGATTGTAAGAGACAGCAAAATTCGTCAGATCATGACTTGGTTGGCTGTGTGAATCAATGCTCACAATATCGATTGCTCTTTAATTATTTACAGTTGCTGTGATATAGCTTGAAAATATTTGAAAAAATCAGGGTTTTACACAAACTTTGAAAAATGGGAGTCATGCTGACTCACAGTATTTATTTTTGGGAGTCATTTCCAATATCTGGGAGTCTATTGGCTGTCTAAATATAGTGAATAACATACTGAAATGCTATTGGCTGGTATCTTTACCGCATTCTAGCATGGCTATATATTTAGCCACTCCGTACTTTCTGTTAATATCACCAGCATTTTTAACACAGTTTGCAATAAAACGATCATGGTTTGCTTATCAAATCGATTTTATTGAACTAAAATTCTGAGGGTCACTCATAAAACTTGCGTCAAGCTTGACTCTTATGATAATATTTTGAGTCTTTTAGAAAATTGTTGTGTCAAATACGCAGGAATCATGCGTCATGTAAAACCCTGACAAATCATCACCATGGCTATATGCGGAATGAATATATTAATTACACTATATGGTGAGGGAAAGGCCTGTTAAATACATGTTGTCTACAGTGTAATTGTTAGTCTTTCCATGTACCAATATGTTGTCTACAATATTTCAGAATGCAATGTTGATGCTAATGGATGACCCACCAAAATTGCCGAAGAACCATGGAATAACAGGTTTCAAGTATCAAGGTATGAGGATTTGAAACCCATTTTGTTTGATGAATATAGGCTCTTGGTTGACAAGATTGTTGGTTGCAGTTTCATCACAAAGTCTATGTATTTGCTTAAAGGTCACATGCAACCAAAAAATCAAATATCATTAAAACACAATTATCACTTATTCATGACATATTATATACATTGCTGATTATGAAGAAACATATAAACAAAATTATAAGCGTACAATCGCAAATCAAAAGTGCAATATTTTGTACTTGGGTTTACTTCCCTAGAAATGAAGCAGCCGGGATACCGAACCCAGTCAGAGCGGGTGGGTGTGCACTCAAGTGTAACGGCTGGTTCATTTGCCGATGCCCTCACGGGTCATTGTGTGTGTGTATATAGAGATGTTGGGTTTTGTAAATACATGCTCATTTTTTGTGTATAACGTTTTGCAATCAACAGACATCATAACATATCATGTGTACAAGTATCACACCTGCATGTCTGTGTAATTACATAATGTGACAGAGACCGAAATCGGGCCATAAATCAATGCGTTTTGTTTATGGTGTATAGCCTGATAGGTGTTAAGTTCAAACTGCATGTGGTCAGTGATCGAAGTTGTGTATTAAATATTGTCATTAGCAGACAGGCAGGCAGACACATAGGTGTCAATAAAACAGACATTATAAGTTATCACATCGTGTCTCGGGAAACACAGGGTTTTATCAGTCCCGAGTAAGGTTGTATTCCCCGAGCTGGAGGGGAATACAACCTTACCCGGACTGATAAAACCCCGTGATTTCCCAAGACACGATGTGATAACGCATTTATCTAGCCGAATGTTTTTCCTAAATTAAAAGAAAACAATACGCATCGAATCGACTTGCTTTTATTTATGTGAGATGCCATGTTGACAACAGCTGATCGATTGACCTCAATGCAGCGCACGTTACTAAAGGCTTGGCGATGCACGCTTTTCTCACTTCGCGTGGTCACTGAGGCGTGGCGGGATAATATGACTTTTGTACTCCCTGCTCGCGGATCGTGACGGGTCACGTGAACCAATCAAAACTCGACATTCTTACATGAGGCTGGATAATGAGTTTTGTCTGTGACAACGGCATATCTATATCACAGTTACAAATTCTGTCAACGCTAAATAATGACATTGCTTTTAAAGGTCACATGCAACGTAAAAAACAACTTTGCAGATTCTGATACCTTTCGGTATGGACTTACCGGAAACAAATCGTCAAAAATGCAAATTCAACTTATGAAGTTGAAAAATAACGCGATGAAAAAAAACGCGCGAAATCGGAGTTCAAACGTTTCACTAATTTTCCCCCGACTTTTCTGGGGAAAACGGGTTTCAACAGCTGGGCTGCGCTTATAGCACGTGCGCAGTGAAGTAGGTTCGCGCAGCTTGGAAGCGGTTGTCCCGGTGAAAGCTTTGGTGTGAGCTATTTTTCTAATGTTTTGTTGATATCTCACAGGCGCGAGCTTTTTATATGTTATGACAGTAAATTAACTGTTTATATAATTTCATTTGTCTATTTCACCACACGTTCTTCTTACCGAGTCACTTTCTCAGTTCGATACTTAAAAGCAATGCCATTATTTAGCGTTGACAGAATTTCCAACTGTGATATAGATATGTCGTTGTCACAGACTAAACTCAATGTCTTGTGTTATTGACACCTGTGTGTCTGCCTGCCTGTCTGCTAATGACAATATTCAATACACAGCTGCTATCACTGACCACATGCAATTTGAACTTAACACCAATCAGGCTATACGCCATAAACAAAATGCGTTGATTAATGGCCCGAGTTCGGCCTCTGTCACATTATGTAATTACACAGACAGGCAGGTGTGATACTTGAACACATGACATGTTATGATGTCTGTTGATTGCAAAATGTTATACACAAAAAATGAGCATGTATTTACAAAACCCAACATCTCTATATATACACACACAATGACCCGTGAGGGCATCTGCAAATGAACCAGCCGTTACACTTGAGTGCACACCCACCCGCTCTGACTGGGTTCGGTATCCCGGCTGCTTCGTTTCTTGGGAAGTAAAGCGGAGTACACAATATTGCACTTTTGATTTGCGATTGTACGCTTATAATTTTGTTTATATGTTTTTTCATAACCAGCAATGTATATTATATGTCATGAATAAGTGATAATTGTGTTTTAATTATGTTTGATTTTTGGTTGCATGTGACCTTTAAATATCGAACTGAGAAAGTGACTCGGTAAGAAGAACGTGTGGTGAAATAGATAAATGAAAGTATATAAACAGTTAAATCGGTAATCTACTGTCTTAACATATAGAAAGCTCACGCCTGTGAAATATCAACAAAACATTAGAAAAATAGCTCACATCAAAGCCTTCATCGAGTATTCACCGCCAGCGAAGGTTTTCCATCTTGAAATGTCAAACGCCTCACTGGTTGACACATAGCTGAGTAGATCTAAATCCTAACAAGGTTCTTTTATGTAATGAGTAGATTATTTACTATTTGTTTTGATTAGACTACTCCTGCTCATGACCCAAGCGCTGGGGGGAAAGTTAGTAAATCGTTTGAAATCCGATTTCGCGCGTTTTTTTTCATCGCCTTATTTTTCCACTTTATAAGTTGAATTTGCATTTTTGATTATTTGTTTCGGTAAGTCCGTACCGAAAGGTATCAGAATCTGCAAAGTTGTGTTTTACGTTGCATGTGACCTTTAAAATGTGTATTGCTAATTATTGTGACATAGGTATCTTTGATGGTATATGTGTTGCATAATATTGGGAACGAAGTGTGTTTGACAGAGATTGACACTGATTGTACATGCAGATCCTATTTTTACATACTAAAGTAATATCATGGAAAATGGCCAGTCACAGCCTTTTGTAGCCAGGACACATTTTGAAGGCTAGTAAGAATGCTGACTAAATGAAAGAGCATGTTACAATTAGTTCCTGATTCACTGTGGCACGCAGCATTTTGAAAGTCGTTTCTTTTGTGTATCTAGAATCTGACCCATGGACATCTCAGGAAATAGAGGCCTTTCACCAGGCACTGCTTCGGTTCAGCAAGGATTTCTTTGCTGTTTCAAATGAGGTTTGTATGACATATTTTACTGCTTGAAATGAGGTTGAATGAAAACTAGTGATGTAAGGGTTTGTCTTATATAGCATTCAAGATGCTGCAAATTTAGTTATTATTGTTATTTTTTTTGTCATAGTGTCTTTGCAGAAAGTAAGAGTCCCTACAAAGCGAACATTGATAATCCAATTACAAAATGATTACTTAGACAAAGTTGTGAAAGCTACCACAATACTAAGAATTACAAATAGGGAAATCAGTTTTGTGAGGAACAAGCCTTGGTGTGGAGTGAGTTTTCCTTCTTGCCCAAGACATTCTCGATCATGTGCTATATTAATATGATAGGTTTGAATGTGATGTAACAATCTCCAGAACACCTTTTGCTTACGTAACTTCTGTGGTTTATGCACTTTAATGAAACAACAATCAAAATGACTCTTCATAATGGTTCTAAGTGGATTCCTCTACAGAAGTTATATGTTCATGTGTCCACCATGAATCAGTTGTATATGTTCCAATAGGAACACGTTTTGTATGTTCATTTGTCCTTGTGTTGGAACATTATGAGAAGCAACACCACACACATTTCTAAGGTAGATCAAGCAGTCAGGAGAAGTGTCCATAAACATGGGGTTTGTACTGCTGCTTCATTACTGTGATGAGTTGCTCTGTTTCTAGGTGAAAACAAAGACCACAAAGCAGTGTATTCAGTTCTACTACCTGTGGAAAAAAGTTTGCCCTGAAGATTACAAAAAGTTAAGAGCACTGAGGCGTAAACGAGAACAGGAGGCTTTGTACAATCTGAGATCCCGACCCCAGGGAGAGGAGCAGCAGCAACAGCAGCAGCCTCAGCAACAGCCTCAACAGCCCCAACAGCTGCAGCAGCACCAGCAGCACCAGCCGCACCAGCCGCACCAGCAAGAGGAGTCCGACTCTGAGGACAGCTTTTCTGCACACTCTGGAGAACCAAACGTAAGTCACCATAAACTTCTGTATACAACAAGAGCTTAACATTTGAGTGGTACTGTTGAATGAATAACCCCCATCGAGGCATGTATATAGTAGTCAGTGAATTGAGCTCTGCATTTTCACAGCCTGTCTTATGAGAAAGCTTTTCACTTATGAGCCATGATGATGTGCATGTTACAGAGTTTTAATTAACACACATGACTATGAGATGCTCTGTTTTGAAGAGATAACCCCGGTATGCGATTGTTGAATAAGGACTGATTTGATGACTCCGATGAATACAACTGATTGTGCATGTGACATCATCTATACAGCAAAGACAGCTGATATAGGCTTTGTCTGTTATTCCAGATATTTTGTTGGCAGATTTTGATCAGTTTCAGAATCAGGGGTGTCCGTGTGAAAGTATCATAAGTATACATTGGGATGTGGGGAAAGTAACATGATTAAGTGACATGCAGTGACTGATTGGAATTGATCATCAGAGTGTCCAGTATACAGCAGATCATTTCTGATGGATTTTACAGAATTTTAGACGATCATTTAAAAAAAAGATCTGTTCATGTTTGTGTGTTGCGGTGTGTGTCTCTGTATGTTGTTCTGTATGTAGTGGGTATCTGTCAGTTGTTCCATGTGTAATGTGTCTGTGTGTTGTTCCTTGTGTATTGTGTCTGTGTGAGTTGCTCCATGTGTAGTGTCAGTGTGTGTTGCTCCATGTGTAGTGTCTGTGTGTGTTGCTCCATGTGTAGTGTCTGTGTGAGTTGCTCCATGTGTAGTGTGTCAGTGTGTGCTGCTCCATGTGTAGTATGTCTCTGTGTGTTCCATGTGTAGTGTGTCTGTGTGTGTTGTTCCATGTGTAGTGTCTGTGTGTTGTTCCATGTGTAGTGTGTCTGTTGTTCCATGTGTAGTGTGTCTGTGTGTGTTGTTCCATGTGTAGTTTGTCTGTGTGTGTTGTTCCATGTGTAGTTTGTCTGTGTGTGTGTGTGTTCCATGTGTAATGTGTCTGTGTGTATTGCTCCATGTGTAATGTGCCTGTGTGTGTTGTTCCATGTTTTTTTCCCATATGTAATGTGTCTGTGTGTTGTTCCTTGTCTAATGCGTGTGTTCCTTGTGTAATGTGTCTGTGTGTTGTTCAATGTGTGTGTTGTTCCTTGTGTAATGTGTCTCTGTGTGTTGTTCCATGTGTGTGTGCATGTGTTCCATGAGTAGTGTGACTTTGTGTTCCATGTGGAGTATATATGTGTTGTTCCATGTGTAATGTGTATGTGTGTTCCATGTGTAGTGTGACTTTGTGTTTTTTTATATGTAGTCTGTATGCTACTGTGTGTTGTGTAGCTCATTGTAAAGACTAGTGGACTGTAAATGTTAGCTTCTATCTCTGCATTGTGGTGTTGTGTCTAGTATGTGTCGGAGTGTGGAGTTATGTATAGTGTGCAGATTCGTGTGTAGTTTGTGCTTGCATAGTGTGCCATGTTATCTTGACTCAGTGCCTTGCATGTCGGTGTCATGTAAAGAGTATGCCTGTATCATGTTGTCAGTCTCCCATCTGGATTGTATCTCATGTATTTCCAGGAGATAAAATCTGACCTTGAGAGCTCCTCCATGTCCTCTTCCCCGGCCCCAACATACACCTGTGACTACCCAGAATGCAATGCTGTGAGTTTCATGTCATTCTATTAATTTTTTATGAATAACCAATAAGAGTATTTAATGTTATAAGTTTGGAAACTAAGCAATGTTGGTTTGTTATAATGCCTGCAAACCAGGACCCCATTCCACAAAAGGATCGTTGCGCAACAACGGACATAGGCCTATGTTAAAGTATGGGAGTAATGATAAACATAGTTACGATAACTGCTTTGAGGAACGGACCACATGTTTCTCAGCATGCTCAGTGTTTGTATTTGACTGCTGTTTTCTCATTAATCTCCTCATGATGACAACTTTCTTCTGAAATGTCAAACCTGCATTAAACCTAACTTACTGATTCACTGACTTGTCTTCCCCACATGGGTACTGTGTGAAGCCCATTTCTGGTGTCCCCTGCCGTGATATTGCTGGAATATTGCTAAAAGCGGCGTAAAACCAAACTCACTCACTCACTCACTGACTTGTCTCTAATGCACACATTCTATTTTCCTGACATATTTTTGCATTGCAACAAAGTCATGTTGTCTGAATAACAACAACACATTGGAAAGAAAACTTTCTAACCATTGAGATGTGAGAGAGACTTGGGCAAGTATTTGCCTTGGTTTTTTAAAGTAATTTGACACACCGGATTCCCACAATTAGTTGACTTATTTCTTAAATGTGTCTACTTTCTAATAACTGCTGCAGTTTCTGTTGTCCTTTTCTTCAGTGGTCATCACATTTGATAACCTTTGGGGTTTACCTTGAGTCCTATATATGAGGGTCCCTGGAACTCATACTCTTAATTTTCAGGGGTCCTGGACTACAAAATGGGGGTCCCAGACACTTAAATATTGTTATTAGTAGTTTGTTGTAATTTTATTGTGATTCAGTTACTGTTATTGTTACTTGATCGAAATTTTTACAAAAAGTATTTGGACTTTTTCTGCGTTTCCTGTCGATGCGCTAATAAATTTCCATTTTCAATTTTTATGTGTATAGGACGTGGAAATTTGCATCCTGTAAATCCCTGTAACCTACTTATATCCGTTCATCAGGTAGTCCACACAGAGGGCAATGTTTCATTGCAGTGAAACTGTTACTTTGGATTTGATAGTGTTATTGTAATAATACAATCAGTTCATAGTGATACACTATATATTTGCCAAAATTAAGAAATATGCTGCATGTATGAAGTTTTCAGATAGTTTGATCATCATGTTCAGCCTAGTTGCAATATTATCAAGATCATCTCCCTGACTACATCGATCCCACATTTCATTTAGAGCTAGAGTCAGGAGTTCAAAAATCCCATCGCCCGACACCCGGGACAAGTCAGTTTTCATTTCGGGCAATCAAATAATGGGCTACTAGATAATTTCCACTTATGGTTTCAAACTGCAAATAGACTAGGATTTAATTTCATATCAAAATGTAGCTACTAAATTTTGCAATGATAATAAAGTGAGTTATCTTTCTTTCCTATTTATCACTTTTCAATAAATAGTCCAGTAAACATTAACATCAAATACCATGTTGATTTATTCTTTTATATTACATCATCATGATTATGTCATAAAATCAGGGCAAGTGGAAAATTAGTCAGGACAAGTTACTTTCTTAAAGTCACTTGCCCTGTGGCAAGTGGCTTTTTGCACAAATGTTGAACCCCTGAGAGTACATCACATAGAAGAATATGCTTCATGTTTCCTTGATGAGTACAAACTGTTAACCATTCAAGTAGCACATGAAATGAACAGGCTTGTATATTTGGATATGGTAGATTTGTTAAGGTAAATATTGTTTTTCCAAACTGCAGTGTGCAAGTGTATCCTATATTTCAGATCTTCACCTCCAAGCAGGCCCTGAATGGCCACACAAGGATGCATGGAGGGGGCCCAGTACGACCTCCCCCTCCATTCCATGATACTATGCCAGAACACCCTCAACCACCGCCACCACCACCGCCGCCACCACACCCCCATCCCCATCCCACTCCACACCCTCCTGTCCATCGCAAACCTCGCCCGGCCACACCCAGCAAACCACCAGCTACTGATGGCACTGGAGACATCTTCCCATGTAAACTCTGCAACAGGTAAGGTCCATGTTATTTTCTACTTGTTTCCCGCACAATTCATTGAGAGCACAATCATGACACAATTCTACAGATAAGGTGCGGTGGAGTAGCTCAGTGGTTAAGGCGTTGCCGAAGGCCCGGTTTTGATGTGTTAAGCCCATTTCTGGTGTCCCCCGCCTTGATATTGCTGGAATATTGCTAAAAGCGGCATAAAACCCAATTCACTAACTCACTCTACAGACAATGTATACTGGGACTCTCTATTATCGCGGGCTCTCTATTATCGCGGCACACGAAAACATCGGGAAAGCAGAAACACCACGCCCGGCATCGGCTGTTTACATATGCAAATTACATAAAATATATTCATTGCTCTTGAAAAAGTCATTTATTTCATTGGAATGTTATGTGTAATCGGAGAAATATTAAAGCATTCATCTTTTCAATAAGTTCTAGAACATTTTGAAACTAGTATGACCCCTACTGCCCTTACATTTAGGATGAATCAAAACTGACTTCATCAAGAGCAATCCTGCGACAACTATAAGGTCATTTGCATATTTTCCGTGCTAAAAATATAACAGGAAGTGACGTATTATGCAACTTCACTCTGCACACAACAGCAACTTGTATGGTACGTTTTAAGCCGGAAAAACAATATTTTGTAACGTAATTGTTACCTTGTATCCAAATGAATAGAAGTTTCTGATGTTTGGGTAAAAAGCATGATGATATTACTAATGTGTGTGAAATTCCTAAATATTTTTTAATGATCAAACTATTTAGATTCGTTACTTGTCATAGTAAACGTTTCACAGTGTCATCTGCTTGTACCGCGTGCCATAGTAAGAAAATAGCAATACCGCGATAATAGAGAGTTGCTTCAATTTCCGGGTCAAACGAGACAATCGGAATTGCCGCAATAGTATTAAACGAGTTGTGACCATGTGTCACATTATTTGTGACAGAAATGAAAATTAAACATCAGTCAACTGAAAATATATATAAAATACTAAATGTCAGTAGCCGTTCATAATCCCGATGGCGACAACATTAACTACCGCGATAATAGAAGGTCCCATGATATATAGATAATGTGTTTTGCATTACCTTTGAAATTTATTGGGTTAAAGTTACAAAAGTATGATTTAAATAAAGTTCTGATAACAGATATATGCACAAATGTCTGTAATATAAATACTTTCAGCAGTTGTTGTGATGTTATATGAAACTAGCGGTAATGCATTTTCACATACCGCTAAATGAGCAAGACAAACACATGGAATAGGATGAACACTTGGAAACATTTGACCCTTGAAGATCCGGGGTAGAATAGGTCCCCAATTGCGCAGATCGATTCTCATGCTGTTGATCACTGGATTGTCTGGTCCAGACTCGATTATTTACAGACCGCCGCCATATAGCTGGGATATTGCTGAGTGCGGCGTAAAACTAAACTCACTCACTCACTCACTTGGAAACATTTAAATATTTTGAGATAAACATGCAGGTTCAGAACTTGGAGAAGGTACCTCAGTCTCAATGACAAGAACATTAACTGCATCTGTTTCTTATATAGCACATTCCGATCTTTTTTTGTATTTTCTGGCCATGTTTACATGATGTGGAATGTTTGTTGTTTACAGAGTGTTCTACAAGGTGAAGAGCAGGAGTGCTCACATGAAGAGCCACAAAGTGCAGGACAATGAGAAGAACAAAGCCAGAGAATTAGGGCTTGCTAAGTTAAAGGCGGCAGCAGAGGTTCTTTGAAAAGTGCTGTCTTGTCAACACTTGCCTTTGTGACAACATGACGTTTTTGCAAATGTAAAATGCTCATCTCTGTATATCTGGAGGATAGCAGAATCATGATTACACCTTTTCCACTTGGGTAACCTCAAACTTGGGTAGAATAAATTGGGTTCCTGAATGCTGAAATTGTAACAGGGTATGTCAAAACAGCCATATATTACGAACAATTCTGAATCTTCATGCTACAACCTAAGAGTTGAGACAGTAATCAGGAAGGCTGTTTTGTGCAAGTGGTTTGCTTCCAGTGCCCCAGGTAGCTAGTGTTCTCTTTGATCTGCTGTTCCATGGACGCAGTTCTGGAACTGTGTGGTGGCTCGGTGTCTTCTGAACCTTGAAGAAATACAGAGGATGGACAATCCCACATCAGTTCATGATGGCAGCTTCAAGACATTATTCTACTTGTCTAGACATGACAATGTGTGCTGGAAGACCAGAAGCTCAAGTTTGTCAAGAGACTTGAAGTTTTATAGCTCATGTGAACTTATTGCACTTGCACACTCTCGTCAAGGTCGTGTCACACAACCAGTTATGGCCTCATATCATGTCAGCTCCTACCATGTTTTTTTATGATTGTGTACTTCCTGAGCTTTCCTTTTAGATAGCAGAACATTTTAGAAAGACTTTGACAGTAGATATGTTTGAAAGAATGTTTTATACGATGTTCTTAAAAAATTTAACTCATGTGGTGCTTTATTATGACCCAGTGGCTGTGATGTTGGGAGTCTGAGAATGACATGGTGTGACACCCTATATTACACTGTTACAGACATGTGGAGGATTAGCACTAGGCTTCCTTATGAAGGATCACATACACTGCATTACAGCTACACCACACCACTACACACCACTACACACCACATAACTACACACCACATAACTACACACCACACCACACCACCCCACACCACCCCACACCACACCACATAACTACACAACACCCCACACTGCATCACACCACACTGCACCACACCACATTACATGTCTGATGTGAATATAAATACATGTATTATTCTCAAAGTTAAGGCTTAAGGAAAAATATTGTTATGTACACTGTACAGATGCATGTACTTTTTATTGATATATGCTGACCAGTTCTATATCCTTGATCTAATGTGGGGTTGATTAGTCTGGATTGAATTATCTTTCATAAATTACAAATCAGATAAATAAAGAGAAAAATTCAGTTAAAATTAGTTTCAAGAAGTACAGGTATGAGCTTGTGCCATAACTCATGTTGAAGTGCTAATGTTCCACTAGTTTCAGTCTGATGGAATACAATGAGAGTGCTATAAGGTTATGTTCAGTTGGAGAAGTGACCGATGTAAGGTGTAATGATTTTATTAAGTTATTCTTCATCCCAAGGTTTTGTCTATCTACTTCATCTTAGAACTGGATTTTCTGAACAAGTGTACTGCAGGGTGGAAATAACTTTAAAATTGATAGTGTACCCCGGTACAGTGGCACATGTAAAGTCACTTGTCCTGATAATTTTCCCACTATACCAACCGTTTTCTTGCTGATTTTTTAAATAAACAACATAATTAACATTGGAAAGTCAACTGGACACCGGTACAGTGTGAAATAAAAATTTGCTTGCCCGACAGAAAAAAACACTGGACTCGGATGTTGGGCAATGGGTTATTTCCACCCCTGAGTACTGTCAAACTGTTGAAAGTGATTACATACACAGTATTTGGAATTCTAGTTCTTGATATCAATGTGAGAATTTGACCCTGCAAAGAAATAAGGTACATAACTAGTACATTAGACTTGTTATATCCTTTCCTGACAGCACAGTGATCTTGTAAACAGTATTCTTACATTCTATAATATAGGACTGAGAGATAGCCTCTCCCTCTACCTCACGTGTTGGCCAGTAACATGCCTGTTTCAGGAGAGTTAGACCATTAGACCGCCATGTTTGCTACAGATGAAAATACCCTCAGAAGGAGGCAGAAGGAAGGTTATCTGGGAAAACTGTGTTGGCATTGCTTCAGTAATGATCTAAATCTGTAATATTTCATCATCTTCTTTAATCATCTTACTAATTATCAGATCACTTCTTGTCATGAATGAAAGTATCCCTTTCCTCAATATATCAGTTAATTGAATGCAGGACACAAAAAATCTGATGAAACCAAAATGGCAGTTTTCTTCATGTAAGCAGTATTAGGAACATATTACACTAGGTGCATATAAGGTTTTGTGAACTTATGCTGGCCTCATGGAGTCTGTTTGCCATTGTATTGCTCACAATGGTGTATGTGTGCTCTGAAAAGCTATTGGTTGGAAATGTGCCAAATGTTTTCTACATTTCAATGTCCACATCTGTCTTTTTTTAAGCACCTAATATATTAGATTGACATTGGCATTGCTGGGCTGGTGTATTTTCACCCACGTTTTACCTGTATTCATCTGCTGATTTCTATCTTGATAATTGTTGTCCGCCACTTTAAGCATCCCCATATCATCAAACATACAGTTCTTTGCAAACGAACATGTTGAGTGGCATATATTTTGTTTCAAAGATATATTCATGTGTATAGGTGTTGTTTCTTTCCTAAATGTGTAGGTTATAATGTAGTGGATTAATCATGTCTGATCTGACAGAATGGAAGTTGTGAGAATTCTTTCCTCTCGGGCACAAATACAGGTATTGTCAGCCGTGGTCTGATTCCCTCTTTCTTCTTGGTGTATGAAGCAGTGACTTCATATGTGAATGAATGTTATTCAAAACTATTTTTGAGACCCATTAACCTATGTACATTAAATTTGATCAACCAGAATATTGGGGACCAGAAGCTATTTTCTAATCCGTTTTGTTTATGAATATGAAACCTTGACATCGTGATACTCAAACAAATCCATAATTTGGGGATAAGACTAAGTGTCTTTTCAGAATATAAGTTCAGATCATATCATAGATTAAATATGAAGAACTAATAAATGGTTTTCTGGTCCAGCTACACCTCCAGATGTGGAAGGAGACTTAAACAAAGCCATGACTTGCATGTTGCGACATGAGGAAATTTACATAGATGCATAATTGTTTTGTTTTGTTGTTCTCATTTTTGTAGAAATATATCTTGACTACTGGTGGCACAATTATTTTCTTTTAAACATTCCTTTGAGTATTTATAACTGGATTTAATGCCTCCAAAGTAGTTGAATTGCTATTGGTCTTGTCCGTCCATTCTGACTTTGCCTGACTTCAAGTGGGAACCTTGACCACAGGATATTCTCTAGAATTTATGATTTGTTTCTCAAGTTGTGTCAGTTTGCTTCTTCTGTTTGTTTTCATGCATCAGTTTTGAAAGAATGATCTTCAGTTTTAATTATTTTGAGTATTATTTTTATAGGTAATTCAAAATTATTAAAATCCTTAAAATGTTTAATGATGTGTTGAGTTATTGTTTGGTGTCAAGGTTGGAATTCATTTTGAATCAATGCTTTCAGAGATTTTAAATGGTCAATTACATTTACCAAAGTTCATTTATGTATTAAATTCTTGAATGGCTCAGTTTTAGATTTATTGATATTTCTACCATTTAATGTAACTGGAACCGAAAGTGTTTGTTAATGCCTTACAATTATCAGTACAATACAAATATCTTTTCCCTCTTGGATATAGCAGAATATTGTCTTCAATATTTGGAATAATATACATTTGTTACCGTCATATTTTAAGTGGATCTTAAACTAGAAGAATAAGCATGACTTTTTAATATTTTTATGTATGTTGTTAAGATATTGTCTTGAATTGTATATTCTTTCCTTAAGAAAACTCAACCGCCATCATATAGCTGGAATATTGCTCAGTGCGGCGTAAAACTAAACTCACTCAATTAAGAAAACTCTGAGATCTCTGTGAAAGTTAGTGTGCCATTTCAGTGTACAAACCAGTATTTTATAGAAGCTAATCTTAAGTGTTTTGCCTCGGCATGACAAACTATAAACAGCAGCTCTTATGAAGATAATAATCCAATGTAATAGCCTGTACTAGACTTCATTTAGTATATCATTCAAACTCAGAACATTGATAAGCCTGTTTTATTAAAATCTGCAGCTTATATTTTCAGTTATGAAAGGTGCAGTTAGTATTTCTAGTCTGTTTGCACAAGAATTTCATAACATGAGGAGGAATTTCCAGATCCAACTTATTGTACATGAAAGCTATTACTGCAAATCCTTAATGGTTACAGGGGAACTTAAGCTGAAATTCTTTAAGAAATGTTCATAGCTTGAATATGGTGAGTCAACTGTTGCTGAAAGTAAGACATGCAATTCATACTGCTTCGTGTCATGGTCTTCACTAATCATTGCTCCATTGTTGCAGATGGAATGTTATTTTTACATTGTCCTTGTGATTTTAACATACTTTGAGATACTTTTATACTTACCACCTTTAGTGTTATGTATGTTTGTCAGTGAGAATTAGGGCATAATGAATGTTACCAGTATAATGCTCATATCAAGTTGCACTAACAATGTATGCATGCATCTGTTTGTTAATGACCACACCTCTAATGAATTGTATCTCTCTGGTCATTGTACATAGCTATGACCCATTTGCTCATTAGGTGGAGTGCTTCTACACTTATGATCATACCATACTTATAGCTTTAAAGGTTAATCACTTGGTTGCATTAACGACCTTAGGTGATACTGATTTTCATATTCCAATGCTGATGATATGCCATTCCGCATGTGCATATTGTTATGAAGCGAAGTAGATGTTGGTAATCTGGGGCCTTATTCTCGAAACGTTCGTAGCCCTAAGAATTCTTAACTTTGATCGTAGCCAATGTGTTAAGAATGGGCTTAAGAAGTTGGTAGGGCTACGAACGTTTCGAGAATAGCTAGCCTGATTCTGAATTGTATGCATCGTTAACTTCTTGTCACTCATCCTTAAGGTAATGCATAGTACTTTGAGGACTAGTCAGTTTCAGGGTGAACTGAATAAGGTGGGTAAACATTTTATGATTTCATTTTTGTGTTTTCTTTCAAGGCATGATAATTTATCATTAATCAGATAACAATTGTGTACATGTCTCTCTAATTTCAAAAGTGAGAAAATTAAAGTTTCTCAATAAAACTTGGTTAATTGTAAACTCTGTTTGTTAGATCTAATAAATAATATAATTATATTATTTTAGAAACTTGAAGGCGCCTTTTCAATTACATAGAAAACAAGTACTATAGGGGATGTTGTAGAGTTACAGAACCATTATTGTTTTCCATGTTTCTTACTGCAAGGAAAGCATATTGGCTCAAGTGTATGTCATAAGTGTAGAAGTGACTTGTTACCTGTCTGTATGTTGATCATTGTTGGCACATCACCTGTGTGTGAATGTGTGTGTGAAGTATGTTTGTGGTGAGTGTGTAACCATGCTGTACATAGTGTATCTATGTACTGTTGTTCAGGAGTTGTCCTGGTTGTGGCTTATATTGCTGTTAAGAAAAGATTTATTTTGTTATCAGGTAAAACCAGCCTGTTGTATCCCCTAGCTAGACCCCTATTGTACCGTGCTTGTCAAACAAAGCTTGTATATTGTCCTTTGGCAAGCAGGAGAGAGTGCCATGTTTATGTTTTGACTATTGTTAGTGGTGCGATATGATTCTATAGAACCATTCTTGAAGGTACCTTTTATCAACCATGCCATTTTAGTCATCATCTCTCATGACATAGCATTTTCATCGAATAAAATGAGAGGTTGGAAGTACCTCATGAAAGAAAGTAATATGCTTTTTGTTTCATCTCCCCAAAACAGACTGTTGTTTTACTGCAAGCTATTCAAGCTTATGTCCTCTAGTGATCATCCTATTGGAACTTTGTCTTAAAGTTGAAACTTTGAAGCAAGAAACATCAATGGCACCGCCAAAAGCTACTAACAGGATTCTGATCGGCCATGGCATCAAAAGCTTTATTTTCTATAACTGACCCATTTCTGCTTGTGTTTTAGTAATCACAATGCCACCCCAATCTGGGATGCCAAAATCCCTCTTTGACGGATGTATTATTCTGTCATGAACGTGTGCTTATGAGTTACAAAAACTGATACCAGTTTTTGGCAATGAGTGTATACTGCCTCACAGATGCTATCCATCAGAAATCCATGTGGACGCAAGTGTATTACCACTGATGCATACGACTGGATGTCAATCTCATGACTATGGTGTGAGTCCATAGGCACCACCGTGCTTCCTTCGCGTCTTTGTTCATGTGTATAAGAATTTCTGCTAGGATTGAGAAAGTATATATCAAGGTAATTTGGCCAAGAAGTTATAACTTTGGTTTCAGGTATATCAGTGATCATGTATCATTCATAAACAACCATATAGTCTGTGTTGTGTCTGTTTCTGGCATACCATATGCCGATGCATCCAAGAGGATGGAGGTCAACTGA